CACCACCTACTACTATGTACTTCATCACCTTATCTCATAAATGTCTCTTCACGATAACGTGCGTCAAAGCATCTATAACGAAAGTGGTCCAGCTCCACAAGTGTCACTAAACGCCTCCCTTGACATGGATAACGACGTCAGTTTCCGACGTGAAAACAAAAAATCCTACGATGATATCTTTTACCTCAGTCATTCGACTGAGAAAACGAGGAATCCTAATGTAGGCCTCGTCAAAACGAAACGAATGAAAAAGGTTCCAATAGCGCCAATAGTTGCAATTTGTCCAATAAGTGGTCTGCTACAGTTTCCGCCAAGCTAATGGTTTACACCATATGAACGAAGACTTCAAGCAGCATTTGGTCAGAGAAAACCAACTTACGGACGGGTGGCGTTCACCATGTCGTCCCATTTCACGTCGTACAGGGTTCGGGTGGCGGCTGCAGCAGCGCAATCAGATGCCTTGACGCTCGACAGTTCAGCGCCAACGTACGTATCGACGTTCTCTAGGTTTGAAGGCGGCACCGACAACGCCGCGCACATGTGCAAAATGTTGCGATTGCCGTCGGCGCGCGTTTTCACTATCTCATCGTGAATTTGTTCAGCATCTAAATCGAGGAAGCGGGAAGTCAAGAAAACAAACTTTAATTTAGGTAACGGTAACGCAGTGTTTCAATACTCACTTCCTTCAGCAGCAAGCTGATCGATCACTTGCCTCGCGCAATCGAAATCGCACTGCAACACATGCCGCATGAGTTTCGGAGGCTACAAAGATGTTAGGCTCATGATGCGCTTACTTAATGGTCGTCATTTTCCTTACTCGAATGAAAAAGCTCAGTACTGCAACTTTAGAACATTTAGAAGAGTCGGAAGAGTTTTTATTCGGATGAATGCCGATACCAACAGAGCCAACGGGGCAAAGGCCCCACGGATGTCCAACGATGATGCTGCAATCAGAATCCTTCCACAACGGAAATACACAACGATTGCCGTCCAAAACAGCCATTACAGATTCCTGAAATGCAACGCGACGCGATATGTAGCACATCGTGATCAACGCTGAGGCAACGAAACTCATTATCTCTGTGACTGCTCACCTCTCCAGAATTGAATATTCTTGGCTTTGAGCTACAAGGGAAATTCAGAAACGAATTCGGGTGTTCCGAAATGACAGATTCGTAATATGGCTTGCCGTTTAAAGAAAATTTAGACATCATAATTTTTTCATCTTTCTGAGACAAAAACCAAACGCCTAAAAAGATAAAACTAGCCAGAGTTTTTCGTCATACATGTTTTAAGTTATGAACCGTAAACGTTAGCCATTTTCAAAACACTGCTGTACCACACCCATTAAGGAAACAGATTGCTAACTGCTAAAGAAACCTAATTTGCTTCAGCTAGTCCTCTGCTG